CATGAGTCAATTGAAGTTAAACCACCATGGAAAACCTAGAAGCACTGAACAGCCGTTCCGTCCTAGTGTGGGACTCCTCAAGAGCGTGCATCCACGATCCCACCCCGCTGGATTCGAACCCGGGGCCCACCGGTGTCGGGCGCGAACGCTTAACCTCTGGACCACTGAGCTGGCACCCAACAGTGTTAATGTCTAAGCTCAACCAATCCAGGAAATTGAGTCACCGTCCACCATTATGGGATTATGGATGCGCACTGCAGAGGAGTTCCACTCTTCTAGGTTTTCCATGGTGGTTTAACTGCAATTGACTCATGAACTCAACTATTAAATTACTATCATATACACAAAACCCCTTTCTAATAATAAGTAACATACTTAACAGTTATATAGCATTAATTTTCTTCAGTTTGGCTGTCTACTTCTATAAAGCGAATAAGAATAAACCGGGCCTTCTTATTACAATAATACTGATCGTTTATAACGTTTACGAGCTGTGATAATAGAATATTATTTCAATTCAGCTGACGAGCTCCAAATACGACGAATCACATGTACCGGCTCCTATTACTAGCTATATCCCATTTATTTTGCATCAAAAATTATTTCGGTTAGAAGGTAAGATGACCCGATCTGAAGTAAAGACAATGTATTTATTTTCGAATATTAATGTGTGAGTTTTATAAATGGGGTCGCTGCTAAACATTTTCAATAAAATCCATACAATTAGCCTAATTTTATACTTATTTACTGATTTCCTCGTTGGAAAAAGGAATAACATTTTTGAAATCGTAGAAATTCTTCATGTTTTTTGTGTCCTAGTCTCTATCATTAGAAGTTTTCTCAATGTTCCTAATTTTAAAAGTGGAACTCAACTGATCCAGAGAATATTATCCATTTGGTCATCAAGTTGTAATTAGTTTATTGCCATTAATTGCAACCAAATGGTTAGTATTCATCATTCTGTTTCGTAGAGCATACACGTATTATGTTCATACAGAAAAATATTTTACATTTTCTAAGTCGTTCATAGAACGGAAAATTTATTTACTTAATGACAGTCCTTCAAATAGTTCTAAAATCTACATATTTTGTCTACAAAAAATATGCGTTTTTTCTAGATCTTTATGTAAGATGTGATCTCACAATGGTCTTTTTAATAATCAAAGAATAGATGATGAAGAATATACATTACCAACCTTATCTTCTGAATTATGATATTTTTCTACCATTAAGCAAGAACTATCATTTCATGAAGCTTAAGATCAGAAACTTAGTTTAGTAGCTATATGACCATGACAAAGAAAGTTATTTTCATAATAACTCTTCAAATTATTTATCACATGACTAAACTAAGTAAACATGAAATAGAAAAATCAGACCAAGATGAAAACTGATACAAACACAGCAATTGTTTGTACAAGGCGGATATCTAAATGGTAATATTTTCATATTTTGTAAACAAGAAACGTAATGACCCTGAGCCATGAAAAAAAGTTTGATATTTAAATTAGTTTATTCACTTCTTTCAAATAATATGTCTATTTTGATAAACCAAAGACTTTTCCGTTTTGATTGTTCAGTGGAACTATATATCACACATAACAGGATGGGAGGATAGAAGTCTATTAATATCAGGTTAATAGTTGAAAAGTAAAATCTAATTATATGTTGACATTAAAACTTTTCGATATGGTCTGTCCTCTCAAATGAGCTAAATGTAAGTGCCCTTGATCGTTAACTAAACTACTATGGGTATGAATATGATTTTTGTCAGTGTAATACCCACCCACGTATAATAAATCCAAAATTCGACCTACTGTTCAACACAAACCAATATTATGTGCACCTGTGTATACCACTGGTATCCAGCTTAAATAATCCACTAATGAGTGATACAAATGCTCAAAACATCTTGTGATTGAACTAGTTTAGTTCATAAACGTCAGTGGTGCCCAAAAGAATCCAGGTACTCAATTCACTTGAAAACTGTTGTGTTTTTTCACCGATAACATCGAATTATGAACGACGATCAATGCCAAACATTCATTGTTTTCCATAACACATCAAATAAATTGCCTGTCATAAGGGTTTACGAATGTTGGTTTGCTGTATATGAACTGTTGTAGCGGTTTTTGAGACGGTGTACCCAATAATTAATTTTTAGTTCTCTTTCAATTCATGTTATTTGAGATAATGTTTATCAAAATGACTATTCAGTATAATACATAGTTATATCAAATAATTCTGATAAGAGCATACATTGAAAAGAGCAATCAATATGAAGCTATTAATGATTAGGCTAAAATTAATAGATCAATAAAAAAATTTGGACTGGGAAACAAGTACAGTTTCTTAGTGACTAAGAAAGTTTGATTATACTCTCCTTCTGTATGATATATAAATAGTTATCAAAGTACTTGATAACAAATATCCCCGAAACGTAACTTAAATTTGGTGACTCTAGTATGTTTCTCATCCTGAAATATTAACCAAGAATTCATCACTTTTACAAAATCTCATAGAGAATCTTTTCTCAGCCTTGTTCAATGGTTTTCGCATGAACTGATAAATTCGGTTAAATTATTAGTATACCGTCAAAGCAACCAATTGTGCTTACTGAAAGTTATAATATACTGTTTTCATTAATTTATTTTAAAATCTTGCTGTATTTAATGATTAGACTATATTATCTTATTCATACCTTGATATTTATAGTTTTCGAAAATACAATAAACTAAGTATTTAGAGGTGGAATTGAATGAATATAAAGATTTCATTTCTACTTTACTCTAAATGGTAATAAGTAAACACTATTTATAACCGATGAACAAACATTTGATAGAGTACACTACTTTAGATAATTTGTCATGATAGCTTTGCCATAAACTGAAGTCAACTAACAGGAACAAACTATTCACTGCTATTAGTAAAAATAAAGACAAATTAGTAAATGTCCTAACGAGTAGAAAAATGAATTTCTGTCAATTCGTGGCTGAATGCAAGTCGCTTATTCAGAGAATTAGTAAATAACCAAATCCACTCAACATGTAATCCAGTTTTGAAGCGTTTTAAACTTGCATACATTACTCGATCATGAAATGACTTAGTTACTACTGTATTGAGAACACATGAAGAAGCAATAATTTTCATTAAAAAAAAGGAATTTTTTAACAGGAAGAGTTATAAAATGAACTGTTTTCTAGCTTTTCAGCTATGGTGCTGACAAGCTCTCTGTGATGAATTACTTAGTCAAGGTTTAAACTTTTTGAACCGCTTTATCTTGAACATTTATTTGGGTCAGTAACTTGGGACAAATACCACCGTCGTAATAAAATGTCAAATTGATCAAAACAACGATAGCACTTAGAATACAACTCAAACATTTTTAATCGAAAGAGAAGATATGATAAAATAAGTGGAGAGGAAACATTCACAGAGTTTTCAAGCAACGATTACATTATGAGTAGCGTAAATACAACCCTGTTTAAGTCATGATTTGTTTACGACTTATGATGTGTTGATAACACAGTCTGACGTTTATATCACCAAACACTATATAACATAATGTAAATAAGTTCCTGTAGAAAATTCCCAATCTGACGCATTGTACTGTAGATACTATGCTTGGACAACGAAGTGTCACTATTTGAATAAAAAAAGGTGGGATTAAATAATCAGTATTAAAACCATCCTCGCAATCTATGGAGTAAAAGATCATGAAGTATCTTTCCGTTTCCAACAAATCGGTGTTATGATTTATGATTCATTAAGTACACCTTATACACTTTCAGTAATTTCACCGACATAGTTCGAACTAACTTTTTTATACGTCTGCTTTTTAAATAAACGAGACAATTTTTTAAATACAGAAAATTAACCAAAATAGAAACTTTCCTTTTGACAAACACAGAGCATACACGAATCATATTCCAACCTACACATTTGAATATTGTATGCATGTGGGCAGAAATTTTGTGCATTTGTCGCCTTACACAGTTACTAAAATGTAACTAAGTTCACTTAAACAGCTATCAAAACACCTACCACATCGCTGTAGTGCTTGAACACTATACTGCCTACACAAATACCATAGAGAAAATTGATATCAACTACATCAAACGTTTGAAAAGATCATTGAAATCCAATACCTCTATTTTGTATTGAGTTGTTGAAAATAAAAAAAACAGGATTTTTTATAATATAACAAATGCTAATTAAAGCGGCGAATACAAACAAAAGGCAGTATTTGTAAAAACGATAGATAGGACACAGTGGGTGAATCGGCATGAGGAGTAAAGCACTAATATGAATAAGGAGAATACAACAAATTGTGAACAGAAATAACAAAAATATATAATCTAATTACTTGATTCGCAAACCAAAATTAGAGTTACCATATTCTTAGAAAGAATAAACGGAGTAACTTTTTGAATACAATGTAGAAGGAAGTTGAAAAGCATGATCCGAGCGAAAATTATGCTTAGATAGAATAGAGTTTTGATAGGGATGTTGGTGAGAGAAGATATCAAAAACATCCGGTTGCAGTTAAAGATCCATTATGACATAAAGTATATATATAATCGTATGCATACAGCAAATCTAATATGGGCTAAAAAAGGAAGCACCTAAATAAGCTTTAAGCATTGAGCCTTAAAAAGCTCAAAGGCGAGAAGAAAATCAACAAACAGACTGGTTACATTTCTTGGAGAGAAGAAGGTACGAATAGTCAGCAGACTGGTTTCTAAATTTTAAAAGTTTAGGATATGGTTATTGTATTATACATTTGAAATAAACAGTGTGATGTAGAAATAAATTTCAATGAGCACTGGGATAAGGTTATGGGAAGCACTACAATAGAAGAAGAAGAATGAAATCGGATCATTTCATATTCCTTTGTTTTGATAAAAAAATACTTCGATTGGTTTCGTGAAAACAGTGAGCACCATTTATATGTAGCTGAGGGACTAACAGACGAATTGACAGCAACGAGGATAAATAAATCAGACAACTGTTTTTCCACCTGTATCACTAGGTTTGAGCAAAGGTTTTGATTCGATAACCTAGTAAAACATAAAAGAGATGGAAATATGATGATAACGTTACAAAAGAATTATTAAATATATACATGGAGCGAGCAAGCCGATTTGAATAAAGAAATGTTGTGGTTCACTCTTTTTCATATTCTACAAGAAAGAATAAGCAAGTTATATCAAACTAGTTGAAAGCAGTAAAAACGGAGATGAATATAAAGAATAACAGAAGATTCAATTGAGCATAATGTTGACCAGTGTTACTTCCTTAATGCTTTCAAGATTGAAAAAATATTGAATTTAACTTCTATTAAAAAATTTTTAATTTCCATTTATAAATAGAAATGATACTAAGAATGGATTTCGAGCAGTAATAATTTATATTTGTATCAATTAAATTAAGATTGGATTAACAAACTCGTAAATCAATCTTAACTAAGAGGGTAATTATTGTAGTATATTTCTGGTGAAGGAAGGACAGAGGGTGAGTAAAACTGTGTATTATACAAAAATGAAACTGTCGAACTTTTTGACATAAACAAAAATGATAGTTTGGAAAACTATTGGAACATTCTTGATGAAGTGGTCAAGCACTTTTTTAAGTGGACAGATACAAACAGAACTGAGTTTCAAACAAAAGATCCAGTTAGTTTGTTAACAAATCTGAGTAGAATAAAAAATTAACGAAATGAGAAATGCTAAACTATAAGAATTGGGGCGATTACAAGAATGTGTCCTTCATGGAATATTTATCTGAAAAGTAATAATTGACTGTAGATTAAAACAAAACGACATTTATTTATTTTGTGTAGGTATCTAGAATGTAATTAACACAAAAGATTAAACCCATTAAATATCTGAATTATCAAATGAAGTGATGAAAGCATTTAAATATGATTCGGGTGTAGCTCAGTAGAATTCTACCTGTGTAAGTATTCGCATCTCATTACAAGGTTCCATTTCTTTTACTTCTGTTTATAAAATTGAGCACTGCTTTATAGTCCTAGTATAATACTGACCTTTTAAAACACATCATTATTAAAGTTCTAACCTGTAGGCAGTAAAAATAATCCACACACCCAACAAAGATGTTAAAATGGAAATAAGAATTTAAATATATGTAACACAGTGCAGGGATGATAAATTTAATAAACTTATTGACATATACATAAAACGACACTGATATCATCAAGGCGAAAGTGCATATTTGAGAACCACGTACAGTAAAACGTACGAAAATATCTTCAGTAGTTATTATTAAATGTCTTTGTTACGTACATGAAGGAATTCAGCTCAAAAGATGTCCAACAGATGTTCTACTTTTAGAACACCTCCCTAGAGCTACATTGGGATAAAATATGATATTGCTTACTGTTAAGGTTTCGTAATTTAAAATAAATACCATGTTAAGTAAAAGGCAATAGTGAGTGATTTTCTCAAATATTTATCAATAACATAAGTGAAATTTCCCTTTGAAATGTGAACAATTAAACATAATGTTGATGTATAGCAGGTTGAAGAAACCTTCATTTATCTGATGCCTAAAATTCCTTTGATCGTAGCGGTTAGTGAAGGATTAAAGAGATAATACAAAGCGAAAATAATAACCTAGTATTAATATACGATTTGATTTAGATTGACGGTCCTGAACTTATCATAAGTGTGTATAATACCTGCTGCATTCATTGAAATTTCATATAAATATCGATAGAATTAAATCACTTCATATTCGTTAATGCATGACAAACGTAACATAATGTGGAGTGAATAAACATACAGCAGAAACCTTTTGAAATGATGCCTGAATGTCTTAAAATACATTTGATGTCACATACAATTAGAGGCTTGACATTAACTATGTACTAATGAGATTAAAAAGGTTAGCATTCCAATCAAGATTTATTTTTATAAAACCATATTAACAAAGTAAACCAGACATTTAAAAAAAACCTAACTTGGATCGAGATAATTGAATCTTTTACTTGCGATTATATACAAAATCAACGGTAAAAACTTGGTTTAAGAGCACAGCAAAAAAATGAAATAAAAGTTTATCAAGCTGTAACGTATGCTCATTTAGAGGTATAGAAATACTACTGGAATTTTCAGAAAGATGAACAGATATTTAAACTTGATAATTAAACTGTTACCAACTTTAAGTAGACATGGTGAAGAAGTTGATCAATCAAATAGTTGTACGCTTAAGTTTATTTTGTTCGGATTGGCTATTCACATGGGGGAGCTTGTCCACAGATTATATTTACAATTGGCTACGATCATTTGACCAAACAAAACCATACGTTGTACGCTACTCAATGAATGAATCACGGTACCTAGCCATTAAGTTTACAGGTAACATCACTAAGCTCGATTCAATGTTACTGAAAATCAACTTTATAGATATTGAACAGCAACTATTCATACCTTACAATAAAATAATTTTGTGACAATAATGAAAATAATAATTTCTAAAAAAATTTTTTTCATCGATTATAGGCCCAGGAATTATCATCCATTAAGATTAATCGCATTGTTATGTATATGTATATATTTATTTACAGAAAAAAAAATGGAATGGACTTAATAAATTGGTAGAAACCTATTATCATTAGTTATTTAGTGTTTTTTGGTATATAGTTATCCATCTACTTTTGGATTAGGAGAAGAACAATCAAAAGACAAAGAAAGTGGTTTATTACACCGAACAAAATTTTTTATAGAAAAATCACGGATCAAATTGAGTTGGGGACAGGAAAACCTGGAACATAAGCACACCGGTTAGGTATATATTAACCAAGAAACTTTTACCACGCACCAATAGATTGATGAAAGATAAGAATGAATTGTCTATAATAACAGAAACGTACTTAAAGAAGACAAATAATACGACATGTTCAAGCGAACAGATGTTGGTATTGTTAGTTAAGTAGCAGAAAGAACCTTACTTCCACCAAAAGGGTGATTGTTTAACGCAAATAATTTTGTCGCCCAGTTATTGAAAGAGTGTGATTCGACAACTTCATGCAAGGTTTATTCGTTAATAAAAAATTGTAGTGTCAAATTCGCTTACGTATTACATAGAAGTTATAGGTATTCTGTCTGGAGGGTATTGCAGGCGGTCGATAACCTCTTCCTATAATCGCGTAAATGTGCAGCGTGTGATAATAAATATATACAGAAGTCAGATAAACTCAAGCTTCCTCAGACGTCACTATTTAAACTTTTACATATTGTTGGTGTACAAACTATCATAGAGTTTATTATATCAATCAGAGTATAATGAATGCCATCAATAGTTGCTTGATAGGAATCTTACTTCAAAATGATTAAGAAGAGTATTTCGAAAATCTGCTGAAATACATTACAATCCTGAATTTATTATTATTATTTCTTTTCAGTTACTTAGATGGTCCGTTTATAGTATGAACTTGACTATATATACTTTCGATAAATAATCAATACTTATGTCAATAAATCATAAGCAACGTAGGACCTGGTACAATGTGCATAGATATGATTAGGCATATAGAATTGTGACTTGGTTGCAATTTAGACAAAATTGATAGACCAATATTCGGTTGACCACAAACAAAAGATGTATAAATGACGTGGGCAAGATCAATGAAGAACTAGGGTTTGGATTTGCGATGGGTACAATGATATAATAAATTGTCATGTAATAGTACATATTTCTTCTAAATCAGTTGCACAGACGTACACTAAACGTTACTATAAAATACTTGAATTGATGAATAGTGATTTGATCTATAATTAGGAACTGATATATACACTTTACTCAGAAACAAATAATTATTGGGTGAGGTTTGTAGAACTGATAAGAAAATGAAGTGACATAAAAGTAACGAAGTATCTGCAACTGACTAATTCAAATTACTTGACTAAATAGCGTTTAATATATCATGCTAACTTACCTGAAAAGATTCGTGTTCTGGTGAAGGTTTAACAGTCCATTGATCAAATGGGCTTTCATCTGTTTTATTACGTAACCCGGAATCTGTTGGCATGAATGTAGATTCAGCTTGAGCGTGAATAGAAGCACTGTCAGCTTTTGTTAATTTATAACGCTTTAATAGAACTGCTATCAAAATGACGGCTGATATAAGTGCAAGTGAACCGACAGTTGATAAAACAATAGGTATTATTTTCTTAGGCTTAAGAATATAGTTTGATATTTTACTTAACGCCTTTTTGTCAGCCACTGCAAACTGAAAGCAAAACAGTAACAACATAGCCGTAAACCCTGAATATAATTCCAAAAGCAAAAAAGGATGTGTGAAAAAAAATGATTTAAATTTCAAGTAGATGTATTGATAAAATAATTCACACCCACCTGTAGTCACTCTAGAGTTACTGCCGCTTCTAAACCCCAGTATTTGAAAAGGTTGAGTGAAGGATTACCAACATATCCTCCGAAAAGGGAAACTCGACAAAAAAACATAATCACAAATAATCATCTGAACAATTCAACCTCTCTTCTAACAACTGAACAGCTTATCATACCTCACATGATGGAGAACAATGTTCTTCAGAAGTCAGCAGACCGACCACACTTCTGACAACCACAACCACAATTAGCACAAGCATGTGAAATTTCCACACATTGTGGGTGACAGGGAAGCTCACTCAGACAGCAGTACAAATGAGGAGATGCAATCTGACTGTGCTTCAAACAAGTGGAACTCATCGGACAAAGTCCAGACAAAGACAATAATAAATCACGACTTTAGGATCATCAAAGTACTTTTAAAAGTGGAGAATTGAGGGGTTACGATGTCTGTCATCCAGTGCTACGTACGCACTAATGACAGCGACGAAGATGATAGAGATCAATTTCGTAGGATGTTACAGGCCTTCGTAAGGACATATCCATGTTCTAACATTCTAAATAAAAACACATTGTACCGAAATATAGGGGCAGACATCATAAGAATGAACAGACATTGGAAAAATTACTAAGATCATCCCAGGACAGAGATAGGTGGAGATGGCTGGTTGGCAGTAACAGGCTTAAGTACGCAAATTATGACAATGTTCCACAAACTTGTTTCAATAAATAAATAAGTGAAGGGAGCTATTGATCATTTATGTTTTGTGTTATTGAATTGACTGTTTGGTTGATTTAGAAGGGCATATTCATATGAAAATAAAATTTCTTTTGTTTGGATAGTTAATGCTGAAAATTAGTGAGCATTGTATTTCCTAATTACATCCGATGGATTTAACAGTAATGGAAACTCGTCGTTTAATAAATGTTTGAACCTATTGTTATGTTTCAATATCCCATTTTTTTAATCACCTTTATAATGACTATAAAAACGTCAAGGAAAAAATAAACCACCAGTAACGACTATGTGAAAACGTTTTACTCAGTTGAAAACACAACGATTGGACTAATTAAGTTTAGTAAAACTTTACTTTAAAACCTTAAATGGAGCGATCCTGGATTACATGTAAGAAGTTGCGACCTCTTTTTGAACATTTCACAATGAAGGCTGCTCATATAAAACAACGAACGTTTTCTAGTAGGATATAGAAACCAGTTACTAGTAAATTTTATGGGTTTTGAGAAGAAAACTGATCAAGAGAAAACTGTCTTAATGCGTTTCTTATGAAATTGTGGTAACCAACAAGCGAATATATCTAGGTGATCGAACTACTTGATTTATTGAAAGCAGGATGATAAAAATAATTTTAAGAAATTACAAGTGATAACGAATATTGCATCACCAAAACAATTATTGAAAATCTTCATTCCTATCATCACGTACCTCAGTGAACCAAGCTAAGGGGAAGAAATATGGTCCTGCCATATCTTGGTATACTTCATTCCTACACAAAAAACAAAAGTAAAAAGCACAACATCCATCAGTCTTATTCTTTAGAATTAAAAGAAATCTAAATTTGAGGAAATATGTAAACACCCAGACACAAGCGAAATATGGAGAGAATGAGTAATCTGTTAACCGAAGCCATGATTTTAGTATTGCAACTGTTCTGAAAATCAACGCAAAGTTTTGTGGTGACATTTGCATCATAACGCCATATGAGCTTATTCTAATCTCTGGACAGACAAATCATGTTGATTTTATTAGTTGTTCTGTAGAATCGTATATCTGGTTATGTTAACTACTGGGTTGTAACCGTCATGTAGTCTTGTTGTGTTATATTTAACAGAATTTAGTTACCTGGCTTTTCGAACTGTTTCAAATTTTTGATAAATGTTTATATCTTGTTAAATAGGCTTTAATTCGATAACGGATTTTCTACATGCCACACAAAAAGTATATAACTTTTTTCACGCTTATATTGGAAAACATCGTATTTTATATAAAGTCCAAACGGAAATCCGAATCAAATAAGCAAAAACAGTGCTTGGTTGATGAACGTCATGAGACATCAATAATGACACTCTTCACAGCAAGTCATAGGTTGATGGAAGAAAATACAGAGACCTGTAATTGGCGAAAACTAAACTGATGGATACTAATATGGTTAAATACCTATCAACTAAGTACTTAAATACTAATCAAGAATTCATTTAGCACTTCAACAAACAATATCTACAGACAGTTGGTCATGATGAAACAGTAGACCAAATATTTAGAAAGGGTGCATTAAAAGTAAATTTTCATCATTATATTGCACTTTTAAAGTTGGAAGTGCACCACAAAATAGACCAAGATTACGCCCAAACCATATGTAAATTTACATTTCTCCAGGATTTTATGTATTTCGGTGCATAACCCAGCCATATTAATTACTTAGCGTAGTGGACTTCAGTCTAAAAGTAAATGATATTTAAGCATGAAGTTTGAAAATGAGACTCTTTTAATTAATTATATTCAAACAAATTTTATTGAAAATAAGTAGTGTATGGAAGAAAAAGCATTATAGTTTTCTTAATATGACTAAAAATAACTTACAAACCGCCATCATTTTCAATGTATGCATTAATCTGAACCTTTTTAAAAGCTTCCAATACAAATCCAGTATTCTATGGTGTATTAAGAAAAAGCAAAAAGAATAAACATAATGTTTACATACTTATTAAAATAATTTCAATTTAGGTCTTATATTGTAGCAGGAACAATATGTATGTCTATTTATCATGAAGTGTGAATATCTCAAAAAATAGGAAAACTATCACATGTTACCAATTTATGGTAAACTTCTGATTTACAAAATAACTGGATATGTGAACTTCGAATCAAAGAGCTTACAATGTCAACCCTAATTATGTAATACTTATAATAAAACATCATAACCAGGCAAAAAAAACAACATATACTTAATAGGTTTTGATAATGACTGGTTGAGACATGACTATTATACTCAATAAGTCGATTGTAATGGATAGCAATAAATTTCAGGCATGTGTAAATATATAAGGAAGATCACAATTGATTGGTCACTGGGTGGCGATCAATGTCACGCGTGTCTGGTCCTTATTAGTGCAGATCGAATGGTATCGATCATGTTGCAATGTGGCCACCAGTCTAGGTGACTCGACACTGCGGACTAGACACGCATGATATTGATCGCCACCCAGTGATCAATCAATTGTGATTACATCTCAGTCCTACAGGAGGTCGGTCGCGGCTCGGATAACTCAGTGGTAACGTCTCTGACTGTGAAGCTGGGTGACACGAGATCGAATCCGCCAGGGAGCACCAGTTCCCTCAAGATTACAGGTACACCTTGCTGACGAATGCCAAGTAGCACGAAACCCGGTCCAGGGTTTACTGTCGACTACCTCCAACCACCATCTAATATAAGGAAGAATTAGTCTCGCAAGCTAAGCATCAGTGAGCACACAAATGACTTATTGGGAAGAGTATTTAAACTTTATTTGGTTCTAATTATACCAATAATGATCGTCTTCAAAAACCTAGAACGCAACTAACTGCCACGTAACTAAAGATTCTATAACTATACATACACAGTTATATATCAACCAAACTATAATGAAAACATCTTCCTTAACTGAGATAGTATCAAAATTGAAAATAAGAGCTGCAAACTGTAAACAGCCAAAGCCAAAACGAAGAACACGATCAGGCAAAGTCTGTTTTTATCACAAGATATCAGTTAATATGACCGAGAAAATTGGGAAAGCAGACGAGTAACAGGTGAAATACTCTATGAACTATCGTAAATTGTGACAAATGTGAACTGCTTCTAGACAGAACATGTTTATTAACATTTTAGTTGTTTATAAATATTAAAATATAAAATGAATTTCGTCCCTCTCAATCTAGCACTAGTACAGTATAGGAGAATGGTGATTTAAGAAAATGAATTTAAGGAAAACCAGGAAGAATAAGTCAATCAGTGAATTATACAGTTTGAAGATCAGTTCAAGTAGTTAACTAGTAAAACGAAATATCGACATATGTCACTCACAGGCTCAATAAGTAATACAGTAGAATCAAGCTTTTCATCAGGTTTTCTTATCCCATCCATAGCTGCCCGAATACTTGGATCAGCTCCCAAGAAATGTGGCTGGCAAGCAAATATAGGGACTGAAATCTTAGGGTTCGAGCAAGGTGACAAAGGTATCATTCCTGTTGGAGGACAGTCTGGGCCGGCCTTCTTCTTCGGACAGAATGCAGCATTCAGCGGATTAACAGTGGCGTTCTGGGATTGTTCGGGATGAGACGCAAATCTAAGTAGCTGGAAATGAAAAAAAAGACATATGTAAACTGACAATAATGCATTTCTTGTTTTGTAAGTACTTTTAGTAATATTTTACGTGACAATAGTAATAATAGATATTTACTATATCTAGTATACAGTGTTTGTTCGCTACGGATCCCAACAACAATGTGAAATGTAGAGCCCAGGAGTGATAAAAGTAAAATCAAGATCCAATAAAATGTATATCGCAAATGACGTTTACCTGGAGGTAAAGAAATAAAAAGAAATCCCTATATATGTTGCAAGATGATAGATTTCTAAGTCGACTACAGCAAAATAAATGCCTGCTAATTTACATGCAATTTAAAACTTCCAATACTGAGAAAATTTCCAAACATAGAGATGATAATTCAGATTAGGAAAAGTACTTTATTCTCATTTCTTTATTCTAACAAGCCGGTTCAACACAAGCGAATTAGTTTATTCAGCCTATCGAAGCTTTGTCACGAAATTCTGATGACTAGTCACGGTTTCATGTAACTTCGCATGCTTATCATGAAACGCTGAGGAGGAGTCACTCTACAAGGTTATAATATTCGCCAAACACATATAATCCACAGTAGGAACTAATTCAAATATCTCACTGAATATCATTTTCATTTTAAGGCTATGGATTTCATCCACTAACTAGCACTATATATATATAACTTGTAACACCATCAGTGAGAACCTTTATAAAATGAAAATGAATTAAAATATGAACTGTCGATACAAGTCATTAAAAAAAATACACATGCTTTAGAAAAAATCAGATATCTTAATGAACAAAAGTAGCAATTTCTTATGGACATATGATTCCCATTTAAACACTAATTCTGTTATAATCATTTGATGATATACTGTAATGTGTAAACGATTTATTTTCTTCAACATAAATACGGAATATGAATGATTAATATGATAAACCCTAGATTCGATTACGCAACTCTAAATAGTCTGATGAAATAGACAAAAAGTTATCATCATCACAGAAATATTTACCAATTCGCATTTGCTTTGGTCTCCGAAAAATCCCTTTTACCCTGCATTCTCACGTCACTGTATAAATGATCCCAGTGTGGGAGTGTGAACCATTTAAGTAAAACATCAATATAGCAGCATATAAATCCAATGACTGAGATAAATATAAAAAATAAATCAATGAAATTCAGTAACCACGACTGACCGATTTGCTACACTGAGCCATAGATATTACGTGTGTGAGCGCATAAAATAGTCTAGTTGATCAGTGACCCAATAAATAGAGATAACGGCTCATGGAAAATCTTAAGGATCTCAATAAAAACGATATCTATCCTATAGTATAAGCAAAACGAAGTTTTGAATGAATAAATCTAGAAAATTCAAGTTGTACTATATTATAGTCTGACAGTCAAGCGAATTCAGTGTAAACAGTTAACCAACAAAATTTGTAAGAGGTTCTAGTTATTTGTCTTTTTGAATTTAATGATAACAGACTGTTAAGGAAACAGCATTTACATTCTCTTTCTATTTGATCAGCAATATGCACAAAATAAACACTTTGGAATATTGAATTTATAAAACCATTTAGTTCAAGTTTCTATAAGATTTGGTAGTTTGACTTAAACATTCGAATAAACATCCTTAACCACCCTACTATATTAAGTATGTTTGTAATTTGTCAGATCTGTCGTCAAGTCAAATTCAAAATGTCTACCAATCTTCATTGACACTTCGTGTGGAACAACTTAAGTTCACGCAAAAGGTTTTACATGATTCTGTTTTATCATTTCTCTGAAAAGTTAAAAGAGTGTTTAAATGTTAAATGTTCTTGAGACACACATTCCTTTTCTTTTTACACAATCATTTGTCGCCTCGTTGACAAAGAGTCTAGGATGAGGCAAGGAAACAACAAAACATTTATCCTATTTCGACTGAGTTGAAATGTCTTTTATGCTGAGTAATATAACATAGAACACTTAGCAGTGTTATTAGCACATGCGTAGCACACACTCGGTCAATGTTAACAGGAAATGTAAAGTATTCATTAATGTGGCTAATTCTAGCTAGCTGAGATTGAAACATAATAGGAACACAAATTAAGGTTTTCATTGAGAACTAAAGATTACTTTCTAACACCCTATTAGAAGCAGATAATCAGTCGTTGTAGGTACATAAGACAGAATTTAAAATTTATCAGTTTTGTTGTGGTATCCATTCATTTAATTTAGATCATAATTGATTACCTGGATACTAGATTTCTAAATTTTGAAATGTATTTTCTCTGTTAACTCACAAATCGACGCCGAAGACACATTCCTACAACGGTGTTAAGACAATGAAATATATAATTGTCTCCGTAACAAAATGCGAAAGGGCTGTGGGAAAATCATGATTTATATTTTAGTTAAGATATTAGAGAAAATAATAGAATACACACAAGTAGAAACAAATACGAGAATTATTGGATACTTTTCAGTATAACTGATATTCTACTAGTGTAATTATTAGATACCGATACTTACATGTACACTACTGTCATGAGTTGCAGTCGCCCAACCCACAGCATCTGAATGAAAGGATCTGCAGAAATCTGGCACAAAAAAGGATATTCGAGAAGACATTTGTAATCCTGGCCGTATAACACTCCCATCTGAAAGTAAAAAAAGTTATTAGTAGTAATATTTGATATAGGAAACAATTGAGAAATTTCGTTCTCCAGTTTCAAAATTCTCAATATTCATCAGAAAGATAAAATTAAGTCACAATCCTAGCTGTTATGGTAAATCAATTAGAAGAATTATCAGTTATATGACCTACTTTTTTGGTAACTGACATAATGAGCTAGGGAAAATAGTGGTACTAGATATTTAAACATATTTTGTTCATCTCAGTTGACGACGCTTTATCTACGATTAAAATGATTCACCATGTTTACCAAGCTCGTCCGCTTACTGCTCTTTGCTTTCAAATTAAGCATCTCAGTAGGCATTAGGTTTCATATGTTTATTCTAGTTAGCATTCTTTAACAAGGTTGTATTGTACGGGATGGGGTTACTGACTTCATGCCCAACTCTCCTTTACTCGGATTTGGGACCGGCACTAACCCTAGAAGAGTTACAGGTGGAGGAAGGCCAGAGAGTGTAAAGAATTGGAAGCACACAGCAAAAGGATGGAAACAACTGGAAAGGATTGCCCAGGATAGAGTTCGATCAAGAATGCTGATGGGCGGCCTATGTTCTTCCACGAAGAGTAACAGGCGTAAGGCATTAGGGTATTACTAGTGTAGGAAACGGTTGAAAGTTAGGGGCGACCAAACAAAAATGTGACGTCATTCCTTGAAGTCATTACTTTGTTGAGATCCGCGCGACTATCGTAACCAATCGTTGGTGACGCTGAGTGAAATAGCTCAGAATCGATCACAATGACATAGGTGTATACACTTTCTATCTTCCTTTAAACCATGAGATTAAAATTGCTTTATATCTTTTTTTCTACGAACTGATTCTTTCTTCCTGTATTATATCATTATATGCAATCTTTCTTTCATATATTCCTACCATTGAATTAACTATTTCTATGGATTTTTTGTTCATCGTGTTGTGGTAATGAGGTGTAGCAACTTGGACCAATGTATAGATGCGTTTGGTCCTACGTTGTAGCTGACTGACTGACATTAGGATATTTACATGCTAAGTTCGGGAAATTTAAATATTAACTTGAAAATTTAAGTTTTTTTAACAGCTGTTAGTGTGCATATTTTAAGAGTTGATTAGGAGATAATCAAGTTTATAAGCTGTACATGAGATATAAAAACGGTATTCGAATATTCATAATGATGAAAGTGTAAAATCAATTTAACATTCAGCTAGAAACTATCGTACCTGTGCCATTTATCATATTAGCGTAATCCGTACGCCAATAGTTCAAAGATCTGAATAAGAACAAGATAAAAGCATAATATATATTATATTACATGAAATTATTATCACATATAATAAATTTAACGACTGTCAGAAATGATGTACAGCTGAGATTTACTGAGTGATTTTCAATGAGATTACTGATTATATGATCATCTTTTGAATAATCACAGTGTAAGTGGAAAAAACTCACTGAACTATTGACACGGAAGAAATAATCATGCGTTAATTAGATTTCTATATAGTTGCTGATGTGTATACAGTTTGTAGCTTTTTCAGAGTAAAATCACCTTAGGAAAATAGGTATCATATTAGTAGAAATATTCTCAAGAAAGACCTACCATAAATATCCAATCACTTAGAACGCACACATTATATATCACTTCAATAGTAATAACGGAAGGTTAGGCTATGATCATTAAGTGCATACTATTTTTTTTACATAAAATGTCTTCAAAGTTAAGCACTGAAAAGATGTATATACACCCATAGGGAATTGAAATTTTTGGACTAAAACATTAATTGTCCAAAAATCTTTTGAGATGTGTTAATTAATGGCAAATTGTTAAAAAATGTCATAATCATTCTAGATGAAAACAGAGCAAACTAAATACAAAGCTGTAACATCCTTTAGATTGCTGTACAACGTGAACATGAAGCATATTATTTGAGATGTAAACTAATAACTTCTAACTGCCTAATCTTGAAGAAATCTTGTAGATCTTAACAGTAGAGAGTTACAAATAAGGCAGAACAAATATTGAACATATGTATTTATTTATTTATAGAACTGTATTGTTCTACTTTTTTCACCTTTCAATCAAGCAATATTCTCAGGCTGTCCCAGCTGATATAAATAGATTGTATGGAATACCCAATTGAATTAAAGAAAGTTGATTCTCTTAATTAAAAAGCTATAGATATAGCTAATAAAGTTATTGATACATTTCTATACATATACTTACGTTACTCCATTGTATTGTAGCACTTTCCCGACGTTTGAAATATTGTAAGCACCGGTATCAATCACGAAATCAGCAACTTTTGTACCATTGTTCTAGAGGTGAAAGAAGGAAATAAGTGGCCTTAAAAATATATACAAAATAGAGTGTTATTCTTAAAATTCCAAATCACAGCTTTATGATAATTAGAGCAAATATAACTCATTAAAACATACTAACTAATTGGTTCATCATTAATTTGACAGATATGTAAATAAAATAAAAAATTTTAAAAACTTCATATTTGAAAAGTAAAAATATACGCATGAGATCCCAGTAACATAACTGTTTAATTTGTACATGCTGAAGCAATTGAGAGTACTCTTAGGATTCTGTTCTTAGAGTTTACTGCATATCTTGAGACTGAACTGAGATGTTCATTGGTATAATAACGTTTAGAAGTAACAAATTCACACAGATTGAAAACTTTTTTATACCTATGGGGCACCGAAGAGTCGTAATATTAATTTTATTGTAACCTGTTGAAATAACAGTATCGTTCAGGATTTTTTAAGTTACAGTAGGTTTTATCGATACCAATAAAGCGTTATGTTAGTAATATTTTACGCTTAGTGAATAAGAAATAGTTAAACGAAAAAAACAGCCTATGGGGAAAACAAACCTACTTTGCAGCTATTCGTGTTCAGCTTTATGCATACAATTGGTGTTCGATTTAAAATAGTTATAAAATCATGTATTCAAGCTGATAAATCAAAGTGAAATATTGACGATGATGTGAATTTCCATGCTCATCGTTAGACATCTTGTAATAGTCAGTTAGGAAAAACACTGATTATCACCTTTTTTTCTAGATACCGATATCGATAGTTGCGTAATATTCAGTTTATTCTTTTTAAAAAGTTTAAGAAGTTAGAGTATTTATTTTTCTATCAGGTGAAAGGTTATTATTCCAAAACCTTTATAATGTAGTAACCACGTACTAAATTAACTGTGGTAACTGCCACAAAAAAATAATTTTATTGACTATTATAGTCCAGAACTATTTATACGAGGGATTTTGAAAAAGAGATTTCAACTGATTCAAGACCTCAGTGGTTCAATTTTTTTTTAATAATGCAACAAAAGATAACTAATCATTTACTTACAAAATATATAGTCAATTTTGAATAGGTGAATCAACAAAGTAATGTGTCCTTTCTCATACAATGAGTTGATATAGTTAACATCCTACATAGGTTCCTCTTTTTATGAAAGTAATTCTTCAACAGTAAATACTGGTGTCACTCAATGCTTATCTACAGTTTCAGGAATAGAATATAACTGTAATAGATATACGTACATATTAAATACCTTGGAAAATATTGACTATAATGTTTAACAGCAGTGTAAAATCTTCGGGTATTGCAAGTCTGTGGTTCGATAATGTGCATTTCTATAAGTTCTCAAAACAGCTGTTTTGTTCTCCTGGTTTTGGATGTCCATCGAAAGCTTGGATTTTATTTAGAAAACATCTTAAAACTGAGCAATGCTTCGCAAACATTAACTGAGACACTCCAGTTACTCGATAAGTATCGTTAGTCTGTATTTTATAAAAGTTTACTTATGTATAATTATTTGCCTCAGCATCCTTGGGATGACAACAAAACAGCTGTGGTTTAACTTTGTTATTATTCACACCCAAAAACGTATTGATGAATAATTTTTCACACCTTCCGTCTTCACACTCCTCAAACCTGTCTGTTGCCTAATAATATTAGTGATTTTCAAAATGTCATAATCAGTTATTATTGTTGTTTATAGATGAATATAAAAGTCAATTATTTGTGCAGCGATTGGCATTTTTGTAGCGTGGTTACAGCCATATATAATATGTTTCTCAGCATTGCTGTCTTCATATATCTGGGCTAAAATAAAGTGTGCATCCAGATATACTGAGCACATATTTCGATAAGACCTAAACCAATAACTACTTTTTTAATATTTACAGTTATACTCTCAAAATTGATTGTTAGGCGTAAAGCAAAAAAATCCAGTCGTTTTAATGTCAACCGCACATGTAAATCTACATAAAGGTTACGATAAGCAGCACAATCATAAGACTGCTAAATTCAAGGAAGCACATAACAAGTAATTCGCTGCGTTTAGTATATCATTTGTTTTCAAAGACATAATTAGACCACAGTGCAACGAGTTAGGAATTTCAGGATATGAAAACTAAAGTGAATGTGACCTTCGCCAGTTTTCTACATATATATTAAGTATAGTAATAATCAAAGAGTGGGTTCAAAATACAGAACATCTAGCAGTGTATAATAAATAAAATCAAAATTTGTAGGTAAAAGCAAATTACCATAGCCATTAAGCCAGCACGATCTGTGTCACAAATTTTAGAAGTTAGACAAACAGACATCAGTGGATCTTGGTAACCCCAGATGATTTCACGAGGTGTCTTTGAAATGAATGCGTTGAACGTGTATAAAAAAAATATCATTTTGTAGTATCCCGGAAGATTATTTATGGCCTACAGTAACACAAAAAGTAAGTTTGATATGATAAAAGAAATGTGACAAACGAAAATTTTACAAGCGTTTCGCTGGTTTGATCACCTACTTCTGAAACTTTCAAAGATGAATGCACAATAATTAAATTTCGGAGAAAACAGGTGATAACAACTAGAAAAACAGAAGTAACAAATTATAGGCACAATAGAATTCTTAGTAGTTCAATAATTGTCTTCCAAAGGTTAATATTAGCTGCTTAAAGCGAGTTAACTGCACCAGTAAATAATGAATCACCGGATAACAATCAGTCAGCTTTTCCACAAACTATATGTATCAAGATAGATAATAACCAGTCTTGAGTTAAAATATTTGCATCAGTGCATAAACTTACATAATAGTTTTTATACATTGGATTGGTTATGATTTTAAGTAAATGAACTAGTCAATATGACAAGCGACAAGCGTAAGGATGTACAACCATCTAGAAAGATACAGCTTATTAATCAACAATCAGTTCATTTTGTTAGTATGTCAAAGTAAAGTTGTATTGAACCTTTATAATGCTGTTTCTCCAGTTGTCCAGTATCTCCTTAACTTCAGTTTCATCTTGGCCACAACCGGGTGACCTGATGCTATGTCAGCTCATATCCTGATTTTCACGACTTTTATTGACTTTCTGAATATTTTATTGATGCAAATATGATTGATCTGATTCTTTGCAGTGTGATCCGGTGTCACCCAGGTAGCTTTGTGTGAGAATATTGTGCCGCCTCTAACCATTTTGTTGAATGTGCATGTCTATTTCGTCCCATGTTATATTGATATCCGGTGTTATCCATTCCGACTTTGGCGTTTAGGTCTCCCATCAGGATGGTCAGGTCTTTTCCTGAGCAATTCACTATGATAGATTGCAGCGTCTCATAAAACTGGTCTTTAGCATCGTCGTTGCTATCACTGGTGGGTGCATAACATTGGATAACACTCGTTAAGATTCCCTCTTTCTTTGTTTTGAACGACGCTTTGATGATTATGGATCCATGAGATTCCCTATCCTATAAGTACTTTACATGTTTCTTTGGACAGCATCAGTCCAACTCCTTGTGAGTGTGTGGCTTTTTTTCTCCATGATCAGAGTACAACAGCATTTCGCCTGAATCTAACGTTTTCAGTCCAGCTTTGTTTCAGTGGATTTCATTGAAACATCAAGTTGTATCTGCTCATTGCTGCAGCTATTTGACTGGTCCTTCCGATCTCTTATATTGTCCGAATATTCCATTTACCTATATCGATTGTTGTTCTGGTTGTTAGAAGGGGTATTGGCCTTGTGACTTCCGAAGAATCTCGGCTTTCATCATGAGGCGTCATAATTTTTCTTTCAACTCGGAGGGCAGAGTTTAAATGGTTAGCATTTTTGAGCAAGGTTGTTTTCTACGGGATGGGGTTGCTAACCACATGCTCAACCCTCCTCCTTTACCCGGGCTTGTGGCCGGAAGTAACCCTAGAAGGGCCATAGGTAGAGTTGTACCATTTTAAAACAAACTTTAAATGAGCATACTTTGTTAAATTAAATAAGTGGCAACACATAAAAATAAAGTTGTAACATAATTAATTTAAAGAAAGTGTTATGAAACTTACTACTGTTACCAGATCAAGACTTGTAACGATTCCCTGATCATCAGGGCCGACAGAGAGGTCAGGTTGAAAGTGGTAGAAAATTCTGTGTTGATATTTAACAGTTTTCGGAGGAGATTCTCCAGAAAATTCTACATTGTTACGTTGACGATCCTCGCTGTATTCAAAATTTAAAAGTAATCATTATCGTCATTGATGCCATATTATATAAAGGAAACGCTACGCACGAAAAGACATTAAGTAAAAGTTTCAAATCTCGTTAACCATAAAGAATATTGACTTGTAGAGTACATTAACTATCAAACAAATAAACTAACCGATAAACGTAAGGGCCAACTTCAGTAAATCTTGGTCGACCACCACTTAGAACTTCTTGAGGATTAGTCAAATTATACAGATATATGGAAAAATACACAGGGACACTTGGTGATTTCCAGTTATCAAAATTTCACTACCGGGTAAAATAGCAAGTTTCTACAATATACAAGAGAAGTAAACAAATTCATAATTCGGCGAAAATACTCAGTAGTTAGATTCTTAATTATGTTTTTGGATATACAAATGTGTGGTCGTCAGTGAATAAAACTGATTACATTGTTAACAAGGGTAATTTGACGTGGAAAATAAGATTCCTCTACTTTAATTTGAGACCAGTATCAACAAGTGTGTCACTTAGAGGTATTCCATCACAGAGGCGAAATTAATTAATCTAAGCTCTAAAATTATGTATGCTAGTAGTTTCTTTTAAAATATATTATGATACCTCGCAAGTGACGTTAAGGGGAAATGTAGCAAAAAGATATAAAAAGAGAGGATTGAGTAGTGGGAGTAATTACACAGAGACTCATGTTGCTTTTGCCGCTTTCCTATAAAAGAAAGTAATACTAATAATAATAATAATAATAAACTACAAATACTATTGGTTTCAATTCTGAATCCTATCATGATTTTTTAGTTGATGAACTGCATGAAGGGTAAAATACTTCACACATCTATCCTTCAGATGACGGCAGTCATACAGTAACCACTGATTGGTATTTCTCAGCTAGCCCCGAAGTAGATATGGCATTTGCTAGAGGTAAGATAGGATTTCAAACAGATTTTAGCTGTGTAACTCACTTTATAGAAAAATTCAAACTATATACAGACGTTTCGCCTAAGGTAATATAGGTTTTGTAATAGAAATACCATTCCTAACCACTTCTCTCCGTACAAAAACAAATGTCTGGAAAGATGTGGATATTTGTGTATAATATAAAAGACAAACCAAAAACTCACCCTGGAAATCAGACTAGCAAATAAATAGTTGAATATAAATAACCCGATTATACATATCAGGGACAAGAAAAGCAATGCAACTGTGGATAAAATCAAGCAAATACGATTAGGTTTCGATATACGAGCCATTATTTATGTGCGGGTAAATTGTTATTGAAGAAGAGTTTATCAGTAATAATATGTAAAATCCAGTGGAATGTACGCTGCGAATCGATGATGATATAAGATACCAAAACAATGAACTGAGCAGATGTATATAAAAGAATCAAACAGCTGTTGAAAATATCAAAGTCATATAGACGTGAATTTACGGACAGAAATTTCTGTAGACCTACAAGAGTTAACAATAAAATTTAAAACAATTAGTTAATTCATGATAAGTCTGGATAACGCGATAAAGTGAATATTATTAGTGTAGTACATTTCGAATAATCTGATCACGTAAACTTGTTAAGAATATTTATATCTGAAAAAACAAAAGGTCAGCTAGACAAATCGGAAGGTAAGGAGAAACAAAGACAATAAATTAAACACCATTCTGGATAATAAATCAATGTTGGCAGGGTAGGCTTAGAGTGGAAACAAACTGTTTTCGAACATATAAAGAAGGATTGAATTTTCGTATTGCATTCGAAAGTAAAGTGCGAAAAGCTTATCAGTTTAAGGATTCACAGAAATCAAAAACAACGAACGATTAAAATTCTAAGAAGGGTTACACATTTGTTTATTTCAATACAGCTAGAGAAAAACGACCAAATCATGGATTTGACATAGACATTATGTATTAAGGAAACACTAATAAATGTTTTGTGACTTTTATAGGAATGTTCAGCTCAATTACTTGTAGAAGCATGATACACACAACAAAGTAGTGAGGCTATGTAGACCAGTGGACTTCAAAGTCTAGAATATATACATAAATATTTATTTTAGTTAAATGTAACCAATATTTCACCAAGCATCAAGTGTCTCGATTTTGTCACTAGTGCGAGTCTGTTGTACAAATTTTAACGGAAGTGTATGCAATCATCAAATGACACTTATGGTCGGAATAGTACTTTAGTTAAAAACAATGGGATATAGAACAGCAATGATGTAGCAAACAGAAGCAGACTAACGCAATATACTCTGATAAACAGCCTAAAACAAATTTATTACATGGGTATTAACATCATAATAAACATTTGTCTTGTAATATGCGAATGTAGACACTAACAAATAAATTTTTATATAGATATAGGAATAGAACAGTTCAAAAATATGGACTGGATTACAAAATTGTATATTTTTACTTATGTTTTATTAAGTGGGGAAATGGTCGATAGGAATTATTTTCGTGTATCTGAGATATTCACCAGATTGCTTTTCAGTGATTAATGAACTTCAAGATGATTGATTTATTTTGTTTTCTAGTGAGCATTTTGTTGACAAAATTTTAGGGAAAACCAGGGTAGAAAGGAATTTTTCTAAACAAAATGAGTAAATTATTAGTTGAAAAGCTCTAATCTGGATAAATCCACTATCCATAAAAGCAAATGAGTGATATCGCTAACAGTATTATAAAAATCATTCAGTGTTACAAGTACATATATCCATACAACAGAACACCTTATTCACACAATTTAGTTTTAGTTAAAATGAAAAGTAAAACTAGAGGAAACCTGGATTTATTTGCAGAGGAAAAGAGAAAAATAACTATTATATAGGTCAAAAAATAATGAAATAGACTATCAAACAAAGTTAGTGAAAATAACAGCATGAAATTGTGGTATGTTAAGTAGAAACTGACTTTTGTCTTAATCGTTTGGATTTTACACTAGCGTGGTATTTACAAGGCTATGACGTATGCTGTGACGAGTATAGTATCATTATATACATATACCAAATAGAAGTAAAAACTGGCTTACAAGCAATGAAAGTTCAGTAAGATCCGTGAGACAGAATTTACTAATTACACAACCTTTTTAAATATTTTTCTATTAAAAACCTGACTAAAGTAATAATAATAATATTAGCGCACCTAGTGTTTTGAAAAAATCAAACACTAAATATTTATTTGCTAAGATCATGTGCTACAAGAATGTTGTGAACAAAGTATAAGAGAATCCGATAGTAAAAGCAAGACATGTTAATAACAGTGATTACATTGTCATTAATTGAGTTTATGTAGAAAGTGTCAGCATTCAGAAGATGTATATATACATATTTAGATAGTGAGGGAGAAGATTCTGTTAAGAAGACACCCTACTAGGTAATGAAAATAAGTATATCTGAGTCAACCTAATTTTTATTCATGAGATCTGGATGATGTAGGCAAATGTGATATTTCTTTACCGAACTATAAATACATTCACAGGTCTGCATACTTTGGACAAAAAAGGGATGAAAAATTAAGGTATTCAGGGAAGAATATAAAAGATAATTTCCAATATATAAATAAATACCAAAAATAACTAGTGGTCAATATAACATGTGTGTAAGCAAAGAATTAAAGATATTCGGTTTTGAGTTTTATTATCCAAAATCGCTGTCAATTTCTATCAAATAAATTCACTGATAAAGACTATAGTTCAATATACTACTAAAGTCAATCCTTAATAGACGCATATATTTATATCATGGTTTTTTCTGTTCACACTGTATCCAACTATTTGTATTTCAGCACTGGAAACAATTGAATCATCGTCAATCTGTTCGAATAGTGGATTTTTCGTCATATGATTAAACAACGTAAGACTTTTCATTGTTCTAAGTAGATTACAAGACTAATAACAATGATTTTATGAAATCGATTGTTTACGAACGAAATAATTTTATAAAGACTTGGAAAAATATTCGAAAACAGTAGAATGAATACAATTGTAAATCTAATCCACTGCACGCATTGTCTGAAATAAATATTTTGGTAAATTAAAATGAATTTAACAATATTCATACAATACTAATCCTGCCCATTAGCCTTTCATAATCATTGATTGCATAACAGATATAATTGGGAATAGATAAACACTTATTTCAAATAAATACCCAGTTGTCTCACAAGTTTTATTGATTATTCTAACAAAATAAGCATTAAAAAATAACCTACTATGAATAATGATTGATGTTTAGGCACATGTGACAGCTTCATTTAATCTTAATGTTTGAAAACACCAGTTCAACTAAACATTCTTGACACCGATGTAATCGAAATAGATTATTTATCTGAGTTATGCGTACATGTCATATGAATTGTATCAGTTATTGATTAGGAATAATGTATTAAGGATTATTCTCAACTAGTTTTTGATCGCAAATGATAAAAAAATGACGCATCCTTTTGCTAACCAAACTATTCAAAAGACGTAGTAAACTAGCTTTCGACGTATGCTCCTGTTAAAAAGTAGGATATCAATGATGGTTAGTTTTCTTGTGAGCACTTTTCTATTTGGTAACGATTAACGTCAAAACAACCGTGAGTGAGAAAGCAACTTTTGTGAAAGTACCTGATATATATGTATATATACATATATGAAATTTTGCTTCACAATTGCACCATAGAGTGACAGTTTAGATATTATTTCTACGCAGTTTGTGGACCTTCATTTATGGCGAACGATGAGTATTGACAAGCCGGTAGTCGTTCGAATAGTACGGATTGTTTTAACAATTTCCAACCTAAAAATCTAGCAAATATACCGGTTCACATAATTCAAGATTTTCATTTTACCCTGAAAAGTTATCTCCACGTGAAACTGACTCCACAATTATCACAGCAAACCTTTATAGATAAAAAACAAAATGATCGGTAGTGACCTTAAATAAAATCTATGATTAAGACGTCGTATATTTGATTAAAAACAAAGTAGCAAGTCTAGTTCTTCGAAAAGTTAAATGTAGAAATAAGAGGTTCAATAAATTAGTTTTATTACATAAACTGACTGACCATAGCGTCGTTGTGAACAGTCTTAACTGATATGGTTCAAGATCTCTGTCGTTAAGGGTTATTTGGTAGCACTCAATGTCCCAAAACTACTGACTTTAGTCAGACAGTAAAATTAAGGAACCAGTTATGAATGTTTGTGGAATATTACATTTTACGCGATTAGGGAAGCTTGAGAAAGTAACCGGAAGACGTATCTAACCAATTCACTAACGGACAAACAAAATAAAAATGTATATTCATCAAGGGTTGAGCTAAATCTTCAAGGGTACATGAAACAAGGCTATTATTTCATTCAATTTTGCAGTATAGGTAAGTGTTGTTGTATATTACCAATGAATGTCATAATATTCAATAAGTCAATTAACAGTATAATAAATCAATCGTTAGCATATTAAAACAAAAATGAAGTTATCCAAAACACACAAAAATGGTAGTTAAATGAATTAAAATTTATGATGTGTTTTATAGGTTAAAAACAAATGTTCATTTTCATTACTCCCTGATAAATTACTCAATTTAGTCATTTCCTGAATAGTAAAAAAAGAAAACCGACAATATACCTTGTAACTATCAACTTACCCGTGGAGAAAGAATAATTACTTCGTCGTTCTCTCAATAAGTAGTTCGTGATGAGTGCTTTATACATCTAGATCATAGGGGTGAAAAATTAGTCTACTATGATAGGTTGATTAAAACTGAACGTAATTCAACCAATTAGAAATCAGACAAGTCCAGAACCTTGAGAATACAAGGCTAGAGAAAAATCACGCTATGGGTGAAAAGTTGAACTATTTGATATGCATTTTTCTAGACACTTACCAAAGGTCATTGAAACAATGAACTTAGGCTTCTTTTAAATTGAATGTTTGTCAAAAGGAAAAGTACAACACGAAAGAATAGAAAATGAGTTATTGTTTATTTATCTTCGAGTGTCAGCCTTTGAAGACGTGAACAGAAAGCATAAGTTTTACGTAAGCCTAACTAAAATAGATATTCTTATTACACAAGCACATATAGAAAGATAATTAATACTATGTTCAGCCGAGCAATGAAGAATGACAGCTCAAATTTACCATTTACTAAAATACAAAGGAATATTCTTGTCGATAATCTAAATATTCAATACTTGGTAGTCAAAAGTACTGATTCAGCATCTGATTTCATGAGCATTACTTTTATTCAAAGTACTACAAGTGAGATAGCATTTATTTAATTTCAACTCAGTATTCTCTGCACTGCACTTCAATAAACTCGATTAACATAAATAAATTTATCGTTGCCTTTGTTGTCTGCACTCCTCCAAATATCTATCTCTAGTTTGCTGTGCATATCTGTGAGTATAACCCTCGTAAAACGGTTCATATATTCTCGTTTCATTTCTAAGTTACGATTTCCATCTATATACCGTTTGGGAAAGACGTAGTCTACGCAAAATTGTTAGCGCTTTTTAAAAGTTGCAAACTCTAGGATTCGACTAATTTCCAAGAAGACTGCAGCCCGATACATGTCACTCGTAGAGTTGTGAGTATATGGAACCCTTGTCGCTCAGTGTCTATCTGTTTAAACCTACATAATCACTTCATGCTCTGATCTCATCAAATGTTTCTATATGCAGCACATCCAAGATAAACGACCATGCCATGCTAGACGGGGAAATTGTGGCTAGTTCCAGTAATTTTTCAATTTTTTCTTTTTGTAACCTGGAGCTGTTTAGGTCTAAAGTTTGTGGCTTTTCTGAAGCTGGTGGCGTTTTTGCTACAATATGATGCGTAATGTCTTTTTCCCTCCGGTTTGACGTATCCGGACTGGTTTAACATTAGAAAGGCTGCTAGTAGTTTAGTATAGATGCACTAAAGCTTCGATTAGATAACTAGACTTATAGATGATGAATCGACCAAAACGTCTTTTATAGAGACGTTAGGGAGTTTATGATGCTTGGTGACTGCAAATAAATCATAGTGGCCCATAAGGTTTGTTTCAGTGATCGGTACAAATATGTTCGCTGCAACACACCTTCAAGTGAACATCGTATCTAACCCAAAATCCAGCACTAACTGTTGCTTTCATACGGTCGTATACTAGTCTGATTAGCAGCTTGCAGAACGAACGGATCTTTACACTTAAGGAAAGCTATATAAACTCTAGTGGTACTTATGGGTCTATGGTTATAAAATCACTGAATTTGTATTTGAATGCATCGCAAAACCTCAAAATAATAAAATAGAGTCAAGTAATAAAAAGAAGTATACTCACTAGATACAAAGTTTGGTTTCCAAAAGGATCAGAGCTAGTAAAATCCACGAGGTGGCATATATATATAAATCCATAGTTGTTTGGATGAAAAGTCAACTAATTCGTTGATGTAATGTGAATATTCCAAGCGTTTGGTTTATTAGTTGTGGTGAACTTAGGTGCTTAGGCTTTTAACAGACATGAAAACGTATGTTCTCGGTAATCTATCAACTAGACTACAACTTATGGCAATATTTAACCCACAGCACTAGCCAGCATAGCTAACCCACACACTAATATAACACTGGTGATAGAAGGAAAAGACAATAAGTACAATTTAGGAAAGGTTGTTTTTCGGAAGTACGAACTTCAACACAATAAAATTATTTAGATACGTAAACAGTAGTAACAAATGAAATGTTAACAAGAGGTTTTAGGAAGGATTTCGCTGTATAGTATAACATTCTGTACGCTGTTCATTAATATGTACAAGTTACCATTTAGATATTACGTAGTAAAAAGGGCTATTTTTATGCTATTCAGAAAAAAACCCATTTCAGTACTAATAACCTACAAAGTTTAGGTTTATACGACTTTGCTTCCAAATGGATAATTATCCTGTTAGGTATTTAAAAAATCACCTCTCTTAAACGTCATACCTTAGAAATTAGTACGCTTAGCATTTATGTTTACAATCTTTGTAACATTTTTGTGGGAAAACGGAAAATAAAAGATTTATTGGTAATAACGTCAACTTGAATAGTTATAGTGTAGGACAATAATGTGACTTAAATAGAAAAAAATCAATGTATACTCAATAAAAATTTATAGGACACTTCAAAAACGTAAGATTTTAGCAGATTTAGCAGTGAAACATTTCTATTCAACCATTGTAACAATGAAATCCTATCCATTATATAAAAATCTGACAAAATAAAACGGTAATGAACTTCAAGGCATAGATTTTTGTTGGTCGGGATTTAACAGTGGAAAGACTCAAACCTTTCATAAAGCGTCACAGTCAAGTACGTTCATACTGAGTTGTCGGAGAAGAGTGACATTACAACGTAAGTTTTTCATGTAAGAATATGTGAAATATAGGTCTCTGAAGGGTATTTAAAAAATGACGATGGTAAGGATTAGACGACCAGATAGTTCCTCAATTATGGCGTGTAAGTGACTAACTAGATATACCTATACCCAGAATACAGGAGGATGTTATAAAATTCATTATTTATTTATTTAGAACACATAAACATTGGTACAAGGAGGCACCAAATATATATGCGCCAAACTTCGTCATTTGATTTGTGTGAGAGTCAACATACTGCCCGCGAACCCAAACTAAAGCAAATGGTTTTCTCAGGGAGCCACAGCCCGAGCCTTTGATTTGAAGGTCTAATCCACAAGGCAGTGGAGCAACTTCAGGAGACGCAGTCTTATAGTGGCCGGTGACCAACAATAGGTTCACATGCCATTTTTCCCTTTAGAATCCTCGAGCCCATGTGCACCATTGGCCTGGAATTAGGGCTTTTCAACTCCTCTAGGCGCATCCTTCATATCCACCAACCCAGTTGAAGCACCGGACATTCGGTTTTCGTTCTCTCAATTTCGTAAACAACACTCCAGTCACGAGAAGGCAGTGAGTAGGGCTTCCCTGTCAGTGGCTATATACGCGAGGCCATGTGATCAGCATTTTGGGAGGGAGAACGGACTCTCCCCATCCTCGATCGTACCAGGGATTTTGGGGCAAAACTGTTGAGCCCACCAGAATTTAAAGATGTACAGCTAATGAACCCATGGGGGAAAAGTATTTTATGAATCGTTTAGTAAATAAAGTGATACTATGTTTCATGGTTGACTTCCTCCTTGTACCAATGTTTATGTGTTTTAAATAAATGGATAAACATTTCTAAATATTAGTTACGCAGCTGATATATAGCCATCATAATTATATACTAAAGCTAATTTTTTGACAAAATACCATTCCCTGGGAGGCTAGGAAAAGCCTATCGGCATTTTTTTTCTTTTGATATCTTAATTTACCTAAACTTTTACTAGATAGCAAAATTCTGCAGCTAACGGCATATGAATTTCAAATAGTTGTCTAACTAGGTATGAAGCTGTACCGTAACATGTAAATGAGATTGATGCAGTATATTATGGTATCATTTATACTGTCTATTCTAGTGGCTACATCCTGTAAACATGATATATTCGACTACTTCCTTATAAATTAATAATATCTTCAATAATACATATTGTACTTTACTGCTTTTTAGTTATTAAATATCAAAATTAGCTGTAAAATATATTCCTTTTCAACTTAAACACCCCTCAATAAATAGTTTCACTGAATATGAACAATGCATCCTGGTCACTGACGGAAAAAGTTATCAAGTTTCTTCTTCTAACTTCATAAATGTATGAAATAAAACAGTGGATCGTACTTTGTGAAGATGGTCTGTTATTTGGATTTGCAGATATTAACTTGCCAATCATCTAATCATATCTAGCAATGAAGTATCCAGTATTTTCTATCAATTCACTTCTACACATCTTTTTATAATATTTTCAACTTATTTAGGAAGTATTCGCGAATTCAATAAACACGATCATGGGACATTCACTGGCAATTAAGAATGCTTAGGTAACACATAAGAATTGTCTAAGTCCATCTGGCTATACTTTTATCTTCTCAAAATCATTTACCACCATCTAATTATAATGGCTTCGTGATCGCTAACCAGTAGTAAGCAAACTAGAGTGTTTGTTAGGGGGGTATTGAAAGCAGCTTTCCAATTAAACATTTTCAATATTTACTTGCATGTAGTGATATATTTAATAACAAACTTTACTTGACTGAAACATTTTCATACGCTATGAAAGACGTACAAAACATCTAAGTTTAATTATTTACCTGAGTCTCAACAAAGCATTGTACATTCACTTGAAAGAATGAGTTTCTGAGAGATCTTAGATGTAGAAATAAACCGATATTCAAACCAAATATCGAAGTGAGACAAACGAAGCAATCATCATCTATGATAAATGGCGTCACAATGAAAAACCCTAAATTTTTATTTATCTAGAGAAAATATTGGCAAACTATAAGACTAATATTCAAAAATTCAAAAAATAAATTCGAAATACTAACACGGATTTGTGTAAAGACTAAATATATTAAAAGTAAAAACTGGTAAAAAAATAAAGATTCACCCATAGAGGACTAACATGCAACTAATAAAATGTACAATACTTCATAATTCAACCCTCAAGTCTCTCATTCACCATTCACATTCACAAAGAAGTAAAGTAAGTTAATACGACTAGCTACATTCAGCATTATTTAAAATACATCGATGAAAAACAAACTTTACCATCCTAGCATTTATGTGGGACGCGAATATCACCTGTTTTCACCAAAAGAAGTAGCATGAACATTTATAACAGATACAATATTTTTTGATACATTTATGTTTCATCATCAACAGTGTCATGAAATTAAAAGAAGAGACACAACAATCGTTGCTCAGCATTATAATACTACACCTGGACTTTTCCAGATACAAGTGTTCAAACACAAAGCAGAGAAGATTGAACATTATAAATAATAAAAATGAACGATATGCTCTGAATTCATAAACCATTTTAGACGAAATAATCATTTTTCATCTTTACATACATTTAATAACCCCATCAATCAACTTTTATGCGTGTGCAAAAGGGTGAGTGGAACTGAGAAACAAATTTTCCTGCTCGACTGAGCAAACTTTGATAACATCAAATGATTTTCGTATCCTTAGATTCGGATGTTAATACATAGCCTCAGAAGGATCAACGTTTAAAATGAGCCAAACGAAAAATATAAAACTAATTTGGTGATCAAATTCTGGATGAAGATGAGAAAGAAACAAGAAAGCTCGGGTAAAATTATTAATTCCATTAAAGGATTTTACAATGTACTACCAAACTTGTGAGCTAGAGGGAAAGTGATTTAAGTACTCGAGGTCCG